TCGTTGCTAAGACACAGGCTTAACATAATGGCACGCCGTTTACGAGTAGCTTCTATCTTAAATACGTATGCTTAGCTAATCGAGTGAGAATTAAGTATATTGATGACGGGAAACTTCATAGTCTCATTATAGGGAAACTTCATAGTCGCCTTAGTAAAAACGACCGCAATAAAAGAGAGAGAGAGGATATACTTTTGAATCTATCTCTCTCTAATCTGTATATACCCTTAAAAACGAATGAAGCGGGTAGGCAATTACGATGCTGATGCCAGATAATTATCCTGCAGTGCGTATAGGTAATGCACACTGCACGCTAATTAACCAGTCTAATCGTTTGTCGATGTCAGCTGCACTTAGGAGCTACGGGTGCAAGTGCAGTAATGCACCGCGGCCTCGGCTTGCAGCAGAAGAAGGAACGAGGTAGCCGAGGTAGTTCCCTGCACAAACAAAAGACAACTGAAAGTGATAATTCCGTCCAGATATAACATCTATCCGTCAATATTTTACTATTTTCCAAAATGGTAAACAGAGGTATGTGCAGGGAAATGATGCATATTGCATTGTTAGTTATTCCATTTGACACGCACACCAACCACAATTGCAGACGTCGTGGTACAGAGAATTGGTGACATGTGGTCTTACTTAGAATTAAAATATCCTTAACCAAAATTACTTCGCTGAAACCAGATATCAAACACAACATCATGGTCACCAGTCTCACAAAGGACGTTACGACAAAAATAATTATAATTTTTAAGTCCGTACGAAATATAAATAAGCGCCATCATATCACCACATTCATATTTGAACGTAGGTAAGTAAAAAACCTGCTTCGAAATTCAAACAAACTTCAGTACGTAAGTCAATAGAAGTTACAAAAGAAATAAAAGTAAATGCAGGTTCGATGCAGAGTCTTGTGTAATGCATAAATCAGGGCTCGGTATGTGTCACAGTACCGCAGGTGCTCGATGTGCTCGATGGGCTCGTAACTTAACTGGCTCGAGCTCGAGCGCCAACGAGAACAGATTCATGTATCACGTGTTAGGGCGGCTCTACACGACCTGTGATGTATTGCTCCTATTATCGACTGCTACGTACTATCAACTCAATCAATTGCGTTTGTAATAAATGTTTAGAACAATTTTACTAGTTTTTTTTTGTGGTAGGCCATCGTCTTATAGGTATTAGAAAACGAGCGATTTAAGTGTGGGAGAGCCATGCTTCGGCACGAATGCGTCGGCTCGAACGGAGTGATACCACGACCTCACAGAAAACCGGCGTGAAACAACCACAGCGTTGTGTTTGGCCCTGTGAGTGAGGTTACCGGAGGCCCAATCCTTCCCCTTCCCGGACCCTTTCCCAATCCCTTAATCTCCAAATCCCTAATCCCTAAAAGGTCGGCAACGCACTCGTTACTCCTCCGTTGCGGGTGTCCATGGGCGACGCCGATTGCTTGCCATCAGGTAATCCGTCTGCTCGTTTGCCGACATATTACATAAACAAAAAAAAACGAGCGGACGAATCACCTGAGTAAAAAATGCCTTGGCGCCATTTTTATGGTTGTTATTGGGGATCAGGTAAGAGTAGAGAAAGCCCTCTCTCAGAGTACGGAACGCGTTGTTCCACATTAGTATTCTGTGAGGCTTACTACCAATCTAATTAAGCCCGATTCGAGCTAAAGCATGACTCTTCCACGTTTGAATTACTTGTTTTTTTTATTAGTTTCAACAGCACATAAACACTTGGTAGTTTGGTTCTAACCAAGCTCACCGAGTAGTTCGTTTTTATTCCGCCCTGATAAAATGTAAAAACTTAGGAACATAATAAAAATAAATAAACGTACCTACAATTTCTTGCTCAATACGTGTTAGTACTAAAGTAGTAGCGACTTAGGTTTATAACATAATAATTTTCTTGAACGTCTTCTCTTCTTGTGAAAACGATAAGGTTTATCACCCATTTACCTACACGTGGCATCCTGAACTCCGCCTTAAAATTTGCATCACCTTATACATAACAAATGCATAAAGAAGCGTGAACATACACACTGAATATGATCTGCACTCATGTTTATAAGCTGCCGGCATGGAAGGTAGGTATTGATCGAGAGTTTTATAGTGAATATGTTCCAGTTATTTACTTCTCAGCTGTGTAGGTAGGTACATAAGGGATATATAAGTTAAGTATTTATTTTCCTCCTTTTCTCGATATAATTGATGATATATGAATATGATGATGAAACTAATCAACACTCAGCACATATTGTAAAACTAGTTTTGTTAATTTTATAAAGAGTAAGTATGTTTTGTTACTTTGTAAATTATCCTAAATAAATCAATTAATTTTGTTATTTTCTAAGCTCTTTTTTAGGACCTGCCTGACCTGTCGTTCACTGAATCTGCCTTATCCAAGTTGTTTTACCCGCTTAATATCTATATTTTTTATTTAATTTCTACGAGATATTGGAATAAAAATGGTTACTACGATTAACAACTGAAATGAACCTTAATCCAAAATGAAAAAAAAATAAACAAGTAACCTTCAACAAGACGTGGATCATGAAAATCATCAAATTACTTCTCTCGACCAGGGTGTGGCGAGTGGAAGTGTCAGACTCTTACTGGCTAAAATCCATCCCGTTCCTTCCTGCTCCCAGTCGCGGTGCATTATTGTGCTTAACCCGCAACCCTGGCTGAACATCAGCCCCGTTGGAACCCATTTGTGGTAGTCTATTGGCTCTTTGAGGCGAGCGCGGAATGCTACTCTAATCTACTAATCACTTCCCCGAGGGCACGGCGGTGCTCAGCCCAAACAGGGCACACCACCACCATATTCTCCGGATAGTCCTCACAATGACGACACATGGCGTTTCCTACAGCCAACTCCGAAACAGTTACCCACTGAAGCATCCGTGCCCGGTTAGCACGCGACGTGTGTCAGGCGGAAGGTGAGAAGGTACGCTTTGACCTCTCTATAGCCACTCCTCTGAGGGGTCTTACCGCTGATCATAACAGTGTGTCCGAACGCTCTTAAAAGGCTTTTTTTTTTTTTTGTGAAGGGAAAATCATCAAATGACTTCTCCCGCCCAGGGCCGGGCAGGAGGGAGTGTCAGACTCTTACTGACTAAAAACCCCCCTGTTCCTTCTCCTGCTCTGTGCCGAGGTCGCGGTACCTCATTGCGCTTACCCCGCAACCCCGGCTGAACATCAGCCCTTTAGGGCCCCGTCTGTGGTGGTCGAATGGCTCTTTGAGGCGCGCGCGGAACGCTACGCGCCATACGCTCGGGCCTGGTTCTGGTCGGGCGGCGAGCTGCCCTTACTCGCCGACCGCAGGCCCGTACTTACGGTGGCCGGAGATCGTCCCTCGATCCCCGACGCCCGTAGTGTCGCCAGTTGCGGCTGCTGGGGCGTGAGGAGGAGGATTGCTCCCTCACGCGGGCCGCCTCTCTCTTTGCGAGCATGACTGCTTCACAAAAGGAGGAGACGGCGTCCCAGTTCCTCTCACTCCGCACCATGGCCTCGACTAAGGCCGGGCGCGAGAGGTCGCCGCCGCCGATCACTTCCCTGAGGATACGGCGGTGCTCAGCCCAGGCAGGGCATACCGCTACCGTATGCTCCACCGTATCCTCTAGGTGGTCCTCACAATGACGACACTCGGGCGTTTCCTCCCGCTGAATCCGAAACAGGAACCTACCGAAGCTGCCGTGCCCGGTAAGCACCTGCGTCAGGCGGAAGGTGAGGACGCCGTGGCGTCTCTCAAGCCACTCCTCAAAGAGGGGTCTTACCGCTGCTATGGTAGCGTGCCCGAACGCTCTTAAAAGGCTGGCAACACATTTTTGTCTCTTTAATTTTGTCTACGATTGACACATTTGCTCTTTTGACTGCTGTCCCATAAAAATATCCAATTGATCCCTGTCATATCCCAGAGTCGAACGCAAAAAAATGTAAAGTAGGTAGGTAGCTGTAGAAGAAACCTTAAATATTTTAATAAAAGTATACATAAACCTACACTACAGTGTATATCTATATAGGTATAAGTACATATACATAGCAGTGTCGGAATTACGTTAAGACACCTAGTTAGGTATAGCTTGTTATGTCTCGCTTATTGATATTGATAAAAGACCAAAGTTCTCGGTTGCTCCATTCAGTGCTCGTTTATATCAAATCATATTAATTGATGTAAATATACAGACTACGTAATGTCGGTTCTACGTAGCCGTAGTTTGCCGTTCAATTCATCTTGATTTATTTGTTCTATGGCAATTATTTAATATGTATCCTTGATTTTTTGCGTGAGTGACAGATAGGCACTGAATGTTCATAAGTTCTTAAATTAACAAACGACCTCAATCCAAAATTTGCGAAACCACACCTAGGTATTTAGACCCAGTATGAAGTTTATATCAAAACTAAACCTTCTTCCATAGCAATTAGAATAGATTGTGATTTCTGCCGCTCGTCAACAAATAATCTAATTCGTAAAAGTCATTAAACCACGATAGAAGTTAAACAAAGGGATATTCTAAGACCACCACATCTTTCTTCTATCAGATAATTTAAATCACAAGTAAACTTAAAATTAAGTTTGTTATAGTAAAGTAACGTAATGCGATGAGCACCCATTTATAGGTCACTAACTCTGTTTAATAAGTTTAGTTTATAAACTTTACTTACCCATTACTTTGTTCTATCGTTACTGCGTGAGATCCTTTGAGATCCGACCTATAAAACCACATGATTTACTTCAATTAATAAAAGCTCAGCGCACTTTAAAGCAATAACCACACGTCTTTAAAGGTCGAAATGTTTTGGATATTTGACATATTTGTTTACATCATGTTTGTAATTAAATAATTATAATCATGATACAAACAGCGTAAAATTATTAAGATTTATTTAATTTCATTGTTATTAGAATTTTACTTGGAATAACAAAACGTTTAGTTCGTACAAAAACGTCAACAACAATCAGCTGTTATTATTGCTGTCAGTCATTAATGTCATTTGCCATCAAACGAGAGTGCCGGTTGGTTTATTTGAGTGCGTATTTGGTTATATTAAAACATAAGAATTAATTGATTTTTTATATCATAAACTCTACCTAAATTACATTCAAACATGCTAGCGAAAAAGTTATTCACTCTAGTGTTCATAAATAAGGAAGATCAGATATTATTGGGACTAAAGAAGCGAGGTTTCGGCATAAACAAATGGAATGGTTTCGGCGGGAAAGTGGAGCCCAACGAAACTATATTGGAAGCTGCGGCGAGAGAATTACATGAGGAATGTTGTGTAAGCGTTAAACCTAGTGACTTGAAGAATATTGCTCATCTAGAATTCACTTTTGAAGGACAGCCTACCTTAATGGACGTGCGAGTCTTTTCCACGAGTTTGTTTGAGGGAAATCCTAAGGAAACTGAAGAAATGCTGCCCAAATGGTTCAAAAATAATGAAGTTCCCTTCGACGATATGTGGCCTGACGACAGGATATGGTTCCCCTACATGCTACAGGGCAAAAAGTTCTTTGGTAAATTCCACTACGAAGGTTTTGATAAAATTCTCAATTATAAAATCGAGGAGATTGATTGTATGAAAGCATTTTACGAGAACAGGAAATTAACATAATTAATAATTGTTTCATGATGCTATGGACATTTATTTTCATTATTTTGACTTTTCTTATTGTGTTTTACTTTACCTATAATATTTTATTACAACATACTTTTTAGGGCTGTGAAGCTATTATTGTGTGTGTGTGTGTTAATTATTGTAACAAATACTACTATCAGTAAGTAATTTTCTGTGATTTTCTATGAAGCATAGCTTCACACATTTCATTACAATTCATATTTAATTGGAGATTACTCATTTATCTGTTTAGTAGTTAGGTTTTAATTAGAAACAGCCTTACTAGCATAGTTGGAAAACCCACCTGATAGTGTAACATTATAGGATATTAAGTAGTGTGGTCCATAAGTTTTTGTGTTCAGTGCTGCCTGAAACCCATGAAAAATTGGGTTATTTTGTAGTGGTCATTTAACTATTTCTGTGGTAATTAATGTGCTTAATCTTTAATTCGTCATCCAAGGTATTTCAAAGATTATCTGAATTATAACCAAGTTTTGTACCTGTATTCACGATTTCCAATCAGATTTGGATTGGACATAGTGACTAACTTAGAATCTCAACTAAAATTAAAGCCGAAACTGTACCTACCCAATATTTTAATTACAATAGTGTATACTAGTAGCTCACAAGACTTCCCTAGAATAATTATATCAATCAAATATTTCTGAGAAACAAAAACTATGTCAACTCAATAAACATCACTTACATTACTATGTTGCATTTCCTTGAAAGACCCAATAGAGCAACAGTTGCTTTTTTATAGTGTGATTACTGATAGCAACATTCTAAGAGAGATACAATACTGTTCATGTTGTATGGCCAGCACGACTAGTGTCATGGGTTGTGTATCATTAAGCCTACCTTGGTTGTGAGGTAGTATAAAAAACAATGAAGAGGAAGATCACACTCATAGCATATTTCCAATGTCAATATTTCATTCAACCCCCAAGTGAACACTGGCATTTACAGTCACACACCTGTTCTTCTGTGTCTCGAAAAGTTTAAAATGTGGTTAGCTAAAGCTGACCTAAACAAAATACAATCGCTTTCTGATTATATTTAGAACTTTAGTAGTATCACAATCAACTTTTTACTCTGGGAAAATTATCAAAGTTCACTTTGAGTGATCCATTTGAAACTATTTATATCATTATTATACTTTACAAATTTGTAATATTATTACTATTTGTTGTACCAAATAATAAAAAAAATATATTTGTAAAAATATCTTTTTATTAATTCAAATGATTACAAACAATGTTAGCACAGATTCTGTTACTGATTTACGCATTCATGCAAGTGATCTACACTTGTTACACCTTTATATTATGTTATTAAATGTAGTTATTTACAAATTTAGTTATTGACAGCAAAATAAATTCTAAATCAATATAAATTAAGACTTGAAAATGTTATTTATTTCTTTAAAAGATCATTATGTTTTTGCAAACTTAAATCTTTTCTCATTTTTGTAAATCATTCACAATTGATTCAGCCAATTGCGAGCTAATGGCAGACAAACATAAATAAATACATATAACTAGTCAAAGTAAAACATATTTTTCTGAAGTTGGTTGTACTGGAAGTGGATATGCAGTTAAAACTGCTGTTATATTATAGGCTCCTATCATAGTTACTTTATATGGCAGTGATTATTTTTTGTTTAATTCATACATTAAAACTTCTGTATAAAAATGGGAATGTTTACTAGATTATTCAAGAATGCTTATTATCATGAAACTAGTGACTATTTACCCTGCTTATTCTGCTAGACAATAACCTCTAACAAAAAATATTTCTAAAAGTTAATAAATTTACTAACATGTTCACAAAAATTTTAAGAGGTATCTTTGGAGAGTAAACAGGATTCTTAGACTTACACTACATTACATTACTTAGAAGCTAACATTTTTTATTATATAAAAATAACAACAGATATCACCACTAACAAATAAGTTTGGAACAAGTTGTTCATACAATATTAGTTATTGATAAAGCACTTTCAGACATAGTGAAGGCAAAATTAAGATGTTACTGCATCAAATCTCGTCCATCAGACTTCATTAGACCTTCACAACATTTAGTCCATCTTGATCGCGTCCCACACTATTTGATTGTCTTTGTGGCCGAATACGGAGTTCCATGGCATATTTCTCCTGAACAATCATTGAGCCCCTTCGTCTGTGCCGTCTCCCTCGGCCAGGGCCGTCCTGGCGAGGTTCCGAGCCAGCGCCAGGCGGAGTAGGTCAGCCTTCTCTCCGTCCAAGGTGGAGGAACGAAGCTCTAGGCACAACATGATCTCATATGTATCATTTGAAGTGAACACAGGCTCATCCGACTCAAGGAGAGGTAGTGTGTCTAAGAGCAATGTTTCCCAAAAGCTAAAAATAAATAAAATATTGTTAAACTACAGATCAAATATGTTATTTATTAGTTTTTATTGACATTGTTATTAATTACTTACTATTCTGGTGCAATTTTTGATGTAATCAAAGAGACTAGTAACTGAGCAGCTTTCTTGAATTCTCTAGTTTTGTACAGTCTGTGAAAATCACAGTATTTACCTGCAATTAAATAGTATAATTTAATATTTCGTTGCATTTTACAATCAATGGAATAATCAGAGAGTTACAATATCTTATTATGATAATAAAACACATATTTGGAGTCATGGAATGTGTGTTTACATAACTTAATTTAAATTCCGTCGAGCAGACGGAATTACCTGATGGTAAGCAATCGGCGCCGCCAATAGACACCCGTAAACCCAGAGGAGTTAAGAGTGCGTTGCCAGCTTATTGGTAGTTTGGGTTTCGGAAATTTAGGGATTGGGGAGGATAAGAAAGATTGGGCCTGCGGTAACCTAACTCACACGGCGCAACAACGCTGTGGTTGTTTCACGCCGCTTTTCTGTGAGGCCGTGGTATCACTCCGGCCGAGCCAACCCATTTATGCCGAAGCGTCGCTCACCGTCACTTAAATCTGTTTTATCATCATACTATTAGACAAAGAGCTGCAAATAGCAAAATTGAATAGTAGCTTACCTAAAAACAGCAATGTATCTGAGAGCAGCATGGCGGAGCCGGCAGTGAGCAGTAGGTCCTGCGCGGGCAGCGCCGCGTGTCGCGTGTAGTGCGCCAGCGCAGCGTGCGCGGCGCGGGAGCTGGCGGCGCTGCAGCGCGCGCGCATGGCCCAGCACAGCGCGCCGCCCGCCCGACCCGACGACAGGTGACGCGCGCTCATACACCGACACACTGACTGCGCTGAAATTATAAGCATATCTTTTGTACTAACATACACTCTTATTAATAACAATATAGTTTTATATAACATCTTAAGACCACTGCAGAATGAACTTGGGTTTGGATCTCACACATAATTTAATATTGTCTGAAAATAAAACTATTTAATATGGACCACATATCTAGACTTTGTTGATGTTGATGTATAAATGTCCAATTCTAATCTAGCCTATTATAAAAAACATTATTTGATGTTAAATAAAAATATAATTTAATGTACATAGCAAAGGAAGGGTATTTAATATTTAATATATTTAAAAAATCAGCATAATATTTTCTTCTATCAAAATAAGTATGTATTGTGTTAATTGTGTATATAAATAGAAACAAGAAAACCTGAAATACATTAGACCTCAGGCACCTGTGTAACATCTACTTAGCTTAATTAAGGTATATTGTGTATTTATGGTCATAGATATTTTTGAATAAATGTTATAGGCATAAGCAGATGAGGATAGATAATTGAAACTTACCAACACCTATTAGCTCATATTTCTTAGCTTCAGCAATAATCTTCATTGCCTTAGCTTCAGTATCTACAGGCATTCTCTCCAAAATGAGCTCTGCTCTCCTCAGCCCCTCAGGAGGACAAGAAGCGAGGTAGGAGAGACCCACGGGCCAGAGGGACTTGTGTTCCATGAGAAGACAACCATACTCTAAGATGAGACTGTCCCTGAGGCGTGAAGTTACGCTGAAAAAAAACGGAAAATCATAAAATTATTGCAAAAAGACATTTTTAATACTTAACAACTGGTTTTTTTATGGTATAGGTTGTCAATCGAGCATACGGATTACCTAATGGAAAGCAATCAGCGCCGCCCTTAGACACCCGCTACACCAAAGGAGTTACGAGTGCGCTGCCGGCCTTTTAGGGATATCTCGGGATTTTAAAGATTGGAAAGGCTTGGGCCTCCGTTAACTTCACTCACACGACGAAACACAACACTGAGGTTGTTTCACGCCGGTATTTTGTGAGGCCTTGGTAGCGTGGTACTCGGGTCGACCCGACCCACTCGTACCAAAGCTTGGCTCTCCCACGCTTACAATACCAATTTTTTTTGTTTCACTTAGCAATTGTGATCATTAAAAACCGTAAATGATTCAACAGAACAGGTATGAGTGAAGTTTTGAAGTCACTTACTTGGTCTGATGCTTATCCATGATGGTAAGTTTGCCACAGTGGAACAGTATATCCGTTAGATGAGTTGCAAACCAGCCATTATCTGATATCTGTTGAATTTCATGGATGACCTATAAACAAAAAGACAAATTCATATTTACGATGCTTTTATTTATTATGCATTAAATTAAATTAGTATTGCCATATCATATTTACACGCGCCGCCTTCTCTGATCGATGTGTGTCATCATCATCATAAGCCGGAAGATGTCCACTGCTGAACAAAGGCGTCCCCCTTAGTCCTCCACGTCAAACGACAAGTTGCCACCGGCACCCATTCCCTTTCCGCGACTCTGACTATGACTATTATGGCAACAACTTCCACCCCCCCTTCCCTCCCCTTAATAATCGATCGAATTATTATTCGGTGTAATTAATGTGGACCTGTTTAATATCTTCTTGGTGTTAACAAGATTTGTTTTATGACTTTTTACTATGTATAATATTGCAGTTACCTGATGTAAATCGCCTTCCAGCAGTGCCCGCACCATGTCATCGAGGTGTGAGCGGCCCGTGGCCTGCATGCCGGCGCAGGCGGCGGCCGCGGCCCCGAGCTCGTGGCGCCGCGACCACGGCGCCGTGAACATCACCCACCCACCCAGGATGTCGAACCATGATGAATACTTGCTTCGTATCGATTCAAATGCAGAGTAGTCACCCATTATTATCTGAAAATAATAAATGTCTGTGATATCCGAAACTAGTAGAAGATAATAAAGTGTACAAATATTTCACCAGAGTAAGTTTTGTTGCTAAATAAAACAACCTTCCCTGGTTATCTGCTTTGCTATTTATATTAAAAAAAATTATCTAAACTTATATTTTAGTATTATATCATTAAGCAAAGAGTAGTGGTTTACCTTCATAATGAGTTCAAGTTTAGGTTGTGAGGCCAGTACTCTGCTGCTTAGTTTAGACCGGCACTCAGCCTGCCAATGTTTCCAGGATATTGTGAACTCCCCAGTAGATATACCACCGTACACCTGCAATCACATTTTAAATTGTCTCATTTATTTACTTTATCAGTATGATTAATCTACAACATAGTATTATTTCCAATAAGACAAACTGGGTTTGTGAAAAAATACATTAACACATTCAGTGCCCCCGACGCGTATGTGCGTGCGAGGAAACGCACATACGCGTCGGGGGCACTGAATGTGTTAATGTGCAAAGTTAACTTAACTATTACTAATACTTTTAACTCAAATGTGGGAGAGCCAAGTTTCAGCACAAATATGGCCGGCTTGACCAGAGTGATACCATGGCCTCACAGAAAACCAGCAAGTCACTTGTAATTCCTTTGGTGTTGTGTGTGTCCATGGTTGGCACCAATTGCTTACTGTCAGGTTAACTGTCTGATTGTCGAAAATCATAAAACTAATATTTATAATAGGGAGATTTGATTGTTTGTTTAAATTGAACAGGCTTTGAAACTACTTGCACCCGGTTTCTGAAAGGCTTGTCAACGCTAAAATTAAAATTAAATTAATCTCCTGTTAAATCTCTTGTCAAGTCATCTGATTGGTTGTTGATAAATCAGTCAACCAATCAGATGACTTGACAAGAGATTAAATTGATTTTAACATTGATTGGCCTTTCGGAAACCAGGTGTTAATCAATTTTAAAAATCCCGTCACTATTGTGTAACACATAGGCTGTAACTAAACTATGAATGTGATACAGCTGATATGGGCTACAACAAACATACTTACACTATACACAGGCATGCTCCTCAAAGAGTTATCAACCAGTTTGAACTCATTACTTTCCCCAGCTGAGTGTAGTTTAAGCAGCGCTCTAGCCACATCCACTCTGCCTTGCACCACCATCCCCACAACTGTATCCCAGTAGTCCTCATGTTCTTCGGATCCTCTCTCACAAGCCCCCAACAATTGGGCAGCAGTCTGTTCATGACAAGGGAAATGAAACCGAACCCATTCCAATAAATATGGCAACACTATATCTCCGGGTATATTGTCTATGTACAGAATCTCACACAAATGCCATATACATTCAATAGAGTAAAATATAGTGATGTAGGACAGGAGACAGTTCTTCTCAATGCCTTCTGTTTTAGTAGCAGCCTCTTGGAGGTTTTCTAAGCACACTCTAATGATTGAACGGAACTGTCTAGACAGTTTGAGAAATTCCACTTGATTATCTGAAACCTTAGCAGCCTCTGCAGCTTTTTGAAGGGAGAGGTATGTCCCGTTGGATTCATTGACAAGTTTCCTAAGAATTGGTGTGAACAGGAGAATGTCTTGTTTTATGTTCATCAATTTATTGTCTGCGGTGTTGGTAGGAGTTTTGTTCACAGTTTGACTTCGCGGATATATTGTGAACTTGTTTCCTCGACCCCACGCGCAGCCGACATGTTTTTGAAAACATTTGTCAGGAAGAATCTGTAAAGGATTTTTTTCATTAATTAGTAAATTCTAACAAACCGAATAATTTACTATTTGTAAAATTTTCTGTTTAGTAAGTTTATTATTTTGAACATGAGCAAAACATTAGGCGGCACCACATACACTTTAGGATATTTAAAAACAGGAATACCTAAAATATAACTTCTAAGAAATGGTTAAAGAATGATTTGCGAAATTAGGTACATTTTCTAGATTGATATAGAATATTTCCACTTAGCTCTTGTGTTTTTAGACTAAATTCAAGAACAAACATAACCTATTTTTAAGTTTTTATTTTAAATATTATGTACTTACGAAAGTCTTGGCCGCGTCTCCTGTTTTCCCTCGTGAAGAGTCTACAGCAAAACTTGAGGTATTCATGTTTTGAACAGTCTACTATTATTTACGCTCCAAACTTAAAAAATACTTTTTGTATTGAAATATCCAAGAAACCGTTTCATCTCATTTCAGAAACTGGAAAGTGGAAATGGAACTACAAATTCACAGACAATCTTATGTTGTTTTTACAATTGTGTTGCCAGTTAAAAAGCTAGTGTAGTGCAAATATATGAATAAAAAACCGTAAAATGGTGGGCCATCCGATGATAAACGGTTATCAGTTTATCACATATTTGTAATGACTCATTTATAACTTGCACTAATTACTAGTTTGTAAATAAAAGATAAAGCAAAACAAAAAAAAAATAGAAATATCATCAATAAACAAAGGGTACTAAGCATTTAGGTAGGAAACCGCTAAGTCTATGTATAACAGCGCCAGTGTTGTTACCATTTTAATTTAAAAAACTATCAACATAGTTTACGTCCTATAGCTGTTCATTGAGATACTTTCAATGTAGTGTTTATATATTTATAAATATTACTATTAGATATTTATCTCGTACTTCTAATAAAAACAGAAAACCTGTAAAGGTAATTTTTGATACAATATTTATGTCAATTATATACTATTCAAATGAAATTATGACCGGATGACCTGTTGGAGGACATGTTGATTTTGTCACGAATAAAAACGATTTTGTCAATTCGTCAAAAACTGTTTTGTTTAGACGAAAAATTAACAAAATTCTACAGTATATCGTGTGATACCGTGTTGTGTAACGTAATAGCAGTATAATGTGTGATATATATTTACAAAAATAAGTTTGACTGAGGGATAAACATTCGTTACAACGTCAATTCTTGTTATTTGGTAAGTTTTTGATTTGATATTGCATCAATGTTTGGCCGACTCTAACTTTCTCTGTAATGCTGACTGTGTGACTGTGCAATTTAGACCTTCGCTCCTTCAGCTGAGCCGTAGACCGTAGTTAGTGTACGTAGCGAGCCTGGGCTGACGTAGCGCGCCGCGTAGTTGTCGTATTTAGGCCGCGATTACCAACTTTATCGGATGTCTGTGTTGTGTATTTGCAAATTGGGTGGTTGTTTTGTGACGTCACGTGTATGCAAGTTGAATATTCTTTGTGGTAACGTTGCCTTTGATATGATAAACATTATCTACAGATGATAGTAGTATCAAATAGTCTCCAGTTGATTCCGTTATTCGTGTGCACACCGTACGTTTCGTACGAAAAAAGTGATATTTTATAGTGTATAGTGTAGTTGCTATAGCAGTTGTTTCAGTATTGTGTAAGTTATTTTTTGTTTTTGTTCGTATAACCTTAGTTTTTACGGTCTCTTGTTAGAGGCCTTGCTTATAACCTTGTCCCAGCAGCTATTTACTTTATAGTTATGATTGATTCCACTCTTAATTGATGCTTTATCACATTAATTGATCCACTCCATTTAGTCTTGTAGCCACAAATATTGACCACAATTTAGTTATCTCTGGTATCTTATAAGAAGGTAATTTCCCTATACTTCATTACACAAGCTGTTAAAAAATATTACAATTAAATAACTTCCATAGATGGAAGTGAGAACTGTAAATAAAGTGTGAATTGCATGTAGGCATAGCTAAAACAGCTGTTCATTATATTATTATCCTATACCTACTAAAATCACATGACTTCAAATGTAAGATAGTTAAATTATCAACATTTGAAAAGTCAAAAAATTTGTATATTGCTGACCATAATTACACATTTAATAGTGAAAAATTAAAATGCATTTTTATTCACATTAAAATTTCATAATCTTATAGATTTTCGTTTCAAACATTTAATGGACATTAAATTATTTTTACTTGCTTATCAGTTGACTAATTAGTCCAAACTTTTGTTAATGATATTTGTAAAAAAAGTTGCTTAGACAAAATTATAGATTTGGATGAACTATGTAACTCTGTGATGGTATAAATTATATAAGTGTCCTGATAGCCTAAAACCATGACATCAGTATTGCAAATCCCTGGTCTTTGTGACGGAGATTGTAGCTGATAATATAATTTGTATAGACATTTGTTTAGATGTCATTGTTATAAGCTGTTTTGACCTTTACTGTGATTTATTCATCAGTCATTACCCAACAATATATGTAATTATGCATGAATACCTTATAAATAATACTACTAAAAGATATGTACTGTAAATCTAAATACACAGAACATATTGCTAAACCAGACCTACAAGTATAATAATCATTTTTTTACCGTAATATAGTATAGAATCCACTTTTGGGATTACCATTATGGTATTTCATTTTTCCCAAATCTTATAATTGTATTCAATATCAATATCATTGATTGGTAAAACCCCCCAACAAATTTTAGGAAATTCCTATATACACAATCATTAATTTTAAATAATTTTGAGAGAACATGCTTGCAGATTTAAGGCTCTTCAAACAGAGTAATTTACAATTAATTATAGCTATTAACATGAAACTTGTTATGCCCAAGATTATGCCCAATTAAGGATCAAATGGATTGGTCGTAGATACATTAATATTTAGTAGAACTCATGTGACTATGTTAGTAATATTGACTGTACTTAATGGTGTACATAGTAAATATGTAAATCTTCATTCAGAAGTCATGACTGGTTATCAAAATTACTGAATTCAAGACACAGTAGCAGCCTATTTGTAATGCTAAAACAGCAATTTACGTTGCAGACGACATATCTCTTATTATCTGTACTTAAAGTATTGACAATGGTACAAATATCACGGGTATAACAAATAACTCATGAAACACTAATAAATATAGGTAATATTATAGTATACATGGCAAAATTTGCAGAATTGAAGAGATAATTTACTCATAAGATGTTTGTTGAGCACTTTTTAGTTCGAAGTTTGACCATAAACAGGTCAGTTATCCTACACTAAAGTAAATTTCCTCCTAGCAACACGCAAGTATCTTATTCAATGTCAATCTTTGTTGGCGGGGCAATGTCGTTTCCTTAACACGAACGCTACGTCATAAACATACTACCTATCTTCAGGGATTATTTTTGCAAGGAACTGAAGTACTTATTATATTAAATTCTGACTGCTAGTTCCAACATGTTCAAATAAAACCACACCGATAGCCTTTCCTTATTCAAAGAGCTTCCGTAAAAAGGTCGTACACGTGATCGAACTGTGAACACAAACTGTCGGTACTTAAATATGGATATTTATGTATAATGTGTCCTGGACTGACATCCGAAATCCTTGGTAATGAACCGTGGAAGTCGATATCAACTTGATGTTTGTTGTGTGGAAATGCCCCTGAGGCTGTGTTGTTTTGACACGCTTATCTATATTAAAAAATAGGTACTACTTCGCGGTTTCAGAAATCCGACCAGCGGTGACAATTATTACCCCCTACATACAAACTTACAAATACCCCTTTATAATCATAAATAACTTTGCGAATGCACAAGAAGACTTGAGCTTTCCAAAGATCAGCTTAGGTAATAGATATATGTAGATTATTAGACAATATACTGATAGATACTTATAATATTCAATATTTCACAATCATTTAAAAAATTATGTACACTTTCATGTTAGCTATAGTTGGTGTGTTTTTATAGAACAATACTTGAAACCCTTGTTTACCAGCAATATTGTTTTATTTGTAAACATTATCTTGATAGTGAGATGAAATTAGGGAACTGAACCCACCAAATATCAGATAAGCTGTTGACCCGTGATAACTGCGCACAATACGGCGTTTTTGCGTGTTATCCGAATTATCTTACAACTAGACTTGTTGAAGCACACTTTTCCTTATAAATATTTCGAAGTTTGTTTTGCAAAGGCTTTGGACTCCTACACAGAACTTTCACTGTTCCTAGAACACTCACTAACATGAGACCATTTTTCGGCTTTTCTTTTTCGGTGCCTACAATATTTTATAATGTTTATTGTGTATTTACTTATTTGATATAATGTATTCGACGTCATTAGTTAAATTGGTATTTCTGTTTGATTTTTACAAACTTAAACTTCCGACCCTTCAATTCGCTATTTTCGGAGACTGGTCCTTAAATGTGAGTCTGCGTTCACGTTTCTAGTTTGACACCTACATCCACTTTCTCTCGTAAAGGCCACATAGGTACCTCTTTCATAGAAAATCATTCTCGGTCGAAATTATATTGTTCACCTCTTATCGTGGACTCGTTATCAACGTTCCTCCTTCGATAACAGTAAATACCTAGTGTTATTCATAGATTCGACGACATTGCTGTTTAATTAATGAAGTAAATATACGATAATTGCTTTCCGTATTCTTTACTGGTTTTTTCCCGGTGTCACCGATTGTAAGTAGAAGGAAATCAAAGCCAGAGGTTTACATGAATCTCAATCCAAAAACATGCTAGGTATTACCTCCAGAATAGTTGTTTCGCAGAAGACTGCGTTATTATCGAAGAGTACAGTGACGTACAGCAATGTGTTTTCAAACAATTGAATCTTCAAACATTCCTCAAATTCGTCACGAGGTTCAAACAGAACATGAAAGCGCAAATCCACGCATCGGCTATAAATGTAGCCGCTGTAGTTATTTCCCATGTCGAATTAGATTTACCTATCGGCTAATGCCGGAATAGCTAATTTTAGCTCGAAGCAACATTAATATTTTGGAACATTTTCTGCGATCTGCTAATGACTGTATGTAAACTTTAAGAAAGTTAGCCGTGGGTTTACTCCGTTTACATTAAGTAATGGTATAAACTATTTAGCATATTTTTATTAAAAACCAATGTTGCATTTACATAAGGACTGGATATCATTGTAGGTAACCATTTTCTCAACCGTTAGACCTACACGTCTACCCACACCCTTTAAAATACCTAAATCACCAGCCAGCACTATATTTCTAGGCCTAATCAAGTACTAATTATTCACATATACCAAGTCTGGCATTTGCAGCATGTCATCAATTAGCATTAGTACAATAATGTAAGATGCACACCACACGAGGCCGACAGGTTTTCATCATAAACCTTGTCAATAGACTATACGTCCTTACGCATTACGCAGCCCTCTTCTTGTCAGTAAGGAGGTTTTTTTGTTTACAGTTTTAATGTCACTTCGTGCTGACAGACTGACGTCTAGACTGGTCTAAGACCTGTGACCGTTAGGAAACCGGTTTCAGACGTTTTTGTTTCTCTTTCTTGGTCTGATCTAGTTCGTTAGAAAGGTCATTTTTTGCTAATTGCTTGTTTTTCGTCTCTGTCTAGTAATACTTCGGTAATATTTCAATTTGTATGTCAATGATGACAAGTGTTGACGGTATAAGCTTAGTTTCACTTTATAAATATTAAAGCATAGTTTCTCCAAGGTCGCCGGCACCACCATAGACCTTGCCTTGCTGTTTACGTATGCCTTTACGTGCTGTATCGATCTGCTGGCAATCGCGGCTATAAATAGCCTATGGTTGCCGTAGGGGGCTTCATGTAGAGCTCGTTATTATGTGTGGCTAGCAGTGAAATGTCTTCATTGCCCTGAGATATTACTTCCTGTCTAATCGGCTAAGAATATTCCAGTGTTTGAGGTCTTGTTTGCTCGATTAATATGTGTACTAATTAGAAAACTTAATGTTTTTATCTGTCTGCCTCAATGTGGTCAAGAGTGCCGACCTCAAAATTAATCGAGTAAAGGTCAGGATAAAAAAGTACGGAACGTCCATTAATGAAACCGTGGTTGACCATTATATCTGATACCTATTTATTCCATACTATATCTACTTATTTCCAAACGCTTGCAGCGTGTTACTATACTGTGATGGTACGTTATGGAAGCTAGATAGCCATACCATACCATGTGATGGATGATAACAACTTTAGCCTTCGGAGAAATGCGGCTATAGAACGAGGTTATCGATCAATAAATAAATAGACTTGCACCAATACACTTGTAGGTTTATTTCTTATGCAACGAAGCCAGTTCTTGTGCCACATCGCCTACCCTTAATCTTGACACCCTTGGCCGCTGACCAGCCCCATATGACCTGAATCACTAACTGTAGGTACCGCAAATATGTACCCGGTGCATATTTGCCAAAAAAGACGGCGCCAAGGGACGTTGTGACATCATCAATATTAAATATTCAGACAGTGTGTTCAAGTTCAAGCATTTTTAATGTTACCGTGTTCTGGCCAAGTTTATGTGTTTTTTATGGAGTTTCTCGTAGTACTGTTTTAGGGATCATGTTTTGTATTGGACTTTAATATTTTATGCACCTTTAAGGCCACGTG